ATAAAAAGGGTGGCCCTCATTTATGTTCAAACTACCGGCCTATCTCGCTCCTATCCTCATTAGGCAAAGTTTTTGAAAGGCTCGTTTACAATCACATATACAATTTTTTATTAACTCAAAAGTATATAACTCCGTATCAGGCTGATTTCCAGAGGGGTAACGGTGCTACTTACCAACTTATTGAAATGTACGACTATATCTGCAAGAGTCTTGATAGTGGAAACGAGATAAAAGCTATATTTTTCGATATAAGCAAAGCATTTGACAAGGTCTGGCACGACGGTCTAATTATCAAATTAAACGTGGCTAGAATTCGTGGAAACATTCTTGAACTTTTAAAGAACTATCTGTCTGATCGTCAACAGAAAGTAATTGTTGGTGGTAGCCTTTCCACTGAACAAAAATATTATTTCTGGCGTTCCACAGGGTTCAATTTTAGGACCCCTTTTGTTTTTAATTTTTATTAACGATATTACCACTGATCTAGAAAGTAACGTGCGATTATTTGCGGATGATACCTCCCTCTTTATGATTATTGACACTCTTCCAACTACACAAAATATTTTAAATAATGATATAGCTAGCATTTTTATTGGACAATAACACCCCTCTAAATGCGAAACAGGAGGTGTTTATCGACATTGTAACATGCTATTTTTTAGAATTTTAAAAGAACTTATTTTATTGTGTAAACTTCAAAATTCGTCTCACTGCAAATCGGTTTTAGTGACGTAAAAACCAAAGAAATCAATTTTGACGTAACGAACACGTCATGACGTAGCGGGATAACTGGCTGCTCATGTTAGATTTGACTCGCTTATCGTCTGGTTGCTATAGTAGCCGTATGAGTATAGACACACAAAAAAACCCCTAAAATTCTCACTTCATTTTTTAAAAAGTACTTTTTGAAACAAAATTTATGTTTTTGTAATAGATTTTTGAATATTTTGTTGTTTGTAGCTATTACCTGACAAGGGGGGTGGCGTTTCAAGTTCATCTTCGGACATATCTCCAAATATTTCATCTAATGTACCGAGATCAAAATTGAGTGTCTCCATTGTGGTTATCTCCATTAAAGTAGTACGCATAATATTAATACGCAGTGATTTTTCTAATTTAGAGGGGTGTTATTGTCCAATAGACAGTGTCTAATCGACCAATCAAAACGCAAGATTCACCCTTAAGCATGTTACAATAGACATTAATTAACCTATCCAGACCATAATCAACTCTAGATGGCATCGCTAGCCTGCGATCTTAAGTGAATTATGAGCCGATTTACTGCATAACTTTCCTTCACGATTTAACGATTAAATGGATAATCGAGACTATGCTGTTTATCGTATTGACTTCAGTAATGATGAAAGAGACTAGGCGGGAATTTAAAACGCATAGTTCTCGGTTCAAAGTGGATCAATTTGAATGAAAGTTTGAGCAAATTGCCTTTACATTATTTAGTTTTGAACTATTATAGTGAGAACTGCCAACTCGTTATCGAATCTCCCATAATGAATATTTAATTAGGCTTAAAAATATTTATGATAACTGCACAGCGATTAAACACAACATCGTCATGTATATGCAATGAATTCTGCTACATGACCTCTTTTAATAAATTTTTGTAGCAGGGATATTCCCTTGCAAAGGCAATGCTTTGAGAAGGATTTGAAGCAAAATTTTGACATTATATTTATTTGAATATGATTTTAGTCCAAATATATCATAAAATCACCCAGATGGAACGTAGTAATTTTATCTTTAATAACCAGAAGCCTTTTATGAAGGGTGTTTCACGTATCACCGGTGTCCTTATCAAGATAAATCTATACATATCAGATAAATTTATACATAAAATGATCCCGTGATACATAGGCGTACGAACTCGATGAATGTTTCAAAATGTATCTTGCCGCAAACTCGTGTTCATGCTATTCCTATCCCGTGAATACAGCAACTGCAATGTGTCCAATATAGCTTACCGTAGGTGACTTACCTGAATCCCAAACAACCAAGCAATCGTCACAGGGTGTGGGGGCCTCGCGCTCCCCGATAAAATTTTTAAAATTTAACCACCGCAAATGCGTTTTTTTCCCTGGTATTCTAGCCCGTTAATTAAGCAGCTTCAAACTTTCCAATCGGTTTGTAACCGGAATCCCACTCTATGCCCACCTGAATTCCAACCATGCAATTAGACTGCTGCAGCTGCATTCACAAATAATTATCAATGCCCGAAAAATGTCGAACAAAGCAGAGTGACTCCAGACAATCTATAGTCAATTCAGTAGAAATTCGTGGTATTCGATTAAAAGAAAGGTAAAATTAGTGTGTTAATAGATTTCGGACACTTAATAAGATTTGCTCTCATTTTACCTGTCTGTCCGAAAAGTCAGATTGCCCGAAAGTTAGGAGGTAGCCAAAGCCGTGAATGAACCTGGAGAACTTGTTTATCGAATTTCCGGAATTAACATTGTGGCGGGGGAGGGGGTACAGGTGAAATGTGGTGGGGCTGAATTTACCAAAAAAACAAAGGGTCCAGTGCGACGCGAACTCTACATCCGGAAATTTTTGAAAAGGGTTTCGATATTGTGCATTCTGAGGTATTTTCTTGGCGAGTTGAATAAAATCGTATACTGAACTTCAATGAAGGTGGAATCACAGACAGTCCTATTTAAAGATTAACATTCAATAACTAAAGGCTATATTAGAAACATTTAGCAAGATTAAATTCCAATGATTCTCGTTTATTATCCGAGTGTAACAACCCACAGCTGTCTAGTCATTCAGATGGGACGAAAACGCGAGGACCTGTGTAACACTGGCGTGCACGTAAAAGATACTTTGGCAGTTGGAATTCGATATAAGAGTAGGCCAAAGTGTCGTTGCCCGGGCAAAATTTCCCTCATAGCACACTGTATGGCGTATGCCCGTCTTCATTAGCCCAGCCAGAGCAGAACAGTGGGACGTTAAACCCCATTTCTTTTTATTTCCATACTGATGACTTATGGGCACCATAAACATTTACATGTCAAAGTTCAAACCAAAGTCAAAATAACCCACGGAGGCCTTTCTGGTGTAAAATTCAATCGCCAGGAATTAAATTGTGTCGAATGATGGCCCAGCGAATGACCTTATGGCACCCAAAACGAATTGGGGGGAGAGGGGGGGGGCAAATTTGACGCACTTTGCCTATCCTGGATCCGTTACTGCCGTTGCTGTCGCGCTGGTTTGAAGGGAAGTAAAATGCCTTAGACCGTGTTCTGTTTTCTTCGCGGGGTGTCGTTTAGCCTGGTTTCTGGTCCGTGCACTGCCTCTTCCGCACGATACAATATCGATGAAGACGGTAATGTTTGTAATTTTATTTCACTTACTCAGATTTAACACGATCGTATTAGATCTTAATTTAACCACCTTTGAGATAGAGAGAGAGAGAGAGAAAGGGAGGAGAGAGAGAGAGAAATAGGGGGACGGACGTTAACGTTAACTCTATGGGACTTTTATTTCAAGGATATAATGAAAACCCACGAGGTTGGGCAGGCGACCATCCTCCTTGTAACGTACAAACTTGGGATCTAAAACGCTTTAGCCCACTCGACCCACTAAACGATGTGACATTACTATTTGTCGGTTAGTTGTCTTTCTTTCGTTCCATTCTGTCATTGAGTCAACCTTGTGGAAGTGGGGGTTGGATGGCCGAATGTATAGCACGTGCGCGTTGTATCATAAAGTCTGTCATTCGATTGATTCCCTTGTACGTGAAAAAGAATAGGGTCGCCTCTCCAACCTCGTGGGTTTTCTCAGGGTTCTCCAGTTTCCTTCCCCTGCCAAATACGCCTAAGCGCAAGCGAATTATTGAAATAAATTTGAACCATGTGTTAGTCCCGAAATGAACTAGTTTGTGTCGAGTGGACGTTAAATCCCATTTCTGTCTCTATCTTTCTTTCTTTAAATGTGAAGGATTCGCAGTGGCTAAGAAGGTAAGACGTTGGCCTTCTAACCTGGAGGTACCGTATGTGATCCCGGTGTTGGCCGTGAAAATTCATCGTTTTTTCCGGGGTGGTTCCCCCTTGTCAGTGGTGCAGGATGGAGAGTCTGACAAGGAACAACCCATAATCGTTCGGAAGGAATGAACACTGAGGTCTCACGTACAGTGCCGGACTGGTGGGCCAAAGGCCCACACAATTACGCGCCGAAGGCGCGCCACGAGCGCCCTGAAGTCGCTTGAATGTCGGAGAGGGGTCGGGGGGTCGAATTATTGAAATAAAATTAAACCATATGTTAGTCCCAAAAAGACCTAGTTTGTGTCGAGTGGTCATTAACCTCTCTCTCTCTCTCTCTCTCTCTCTCTCTCTCTCTCTCTCTCTCCCTCTTCAAATTAAGTAGGACAGCTTGTATAAGAAAGTTAACAGTATCAATTTCAAATTTGAAAAACAAATTAATTTAAATATAGCGCTTTGATCTGATGCCCTGCTGAGATGGATGTCAGTGGTCGTCGGCCCCTTCGCCCCGACGCCCACCACCACCTTCGCCTGCTACGGCATTTGCCTACTATTACATGTATATCAGACTGGCTAAGATTATTATAAATGGGGGAACTCACGGTGGCTAAGTAGGTAAGATGCTGGCTCGCTAGCCTGGAAGTCGGGTGTTCGATCCCTGTATTGACCGAGAAAGTTCATCCAGATTTTCCGGCGTGGTTCTCCGTTGTCAGTGATGCAGGACGGAGGGGCTGGCAAGGAAAGCTGTCTAGTCATTCGGATGGGACGAAAAACCGAGGTTCCGTGTGTACATTGGCGTGCACGTAAAAGATCCCTTGACAGTTGGAATTCGATATAAGAGTAGGCCGTAGTGCCGCTGTCCGGGCAAAATTTCCCTCATAGCACACTGTATGGCGTATGCCCGTCTTCATTGGCCCAGTATGGAGCAAAACCCCATTTCATTTCATTTATTATAAATGTAGCGGAACTTCAACCGATATCTAATCTGAATTCTTTTTTTTACAGATCTATATACGGTATTCAACAGTTATGTTTAAACCAAGGCTTGACAAGAATCGTTTATTAATAATATCTGCGGTATTTGTTTTTATTTTGATTTGGAGACTGTATTATGTTTTGGTTGATAACTCATTATGTGGTTCTAATCCTTACTCGTTTTTGTCTGAACATTGTTTTGGTGACACTCGAACCCACAGCTATAAATACCTAATCAATGACGCGGATATTTGTAAACCTTTTCCAGACAAAACGTTTCTGTTAATAGTAGTTCTTTCAAGAACGTCTGAGTTTGAAGAAAGACAAGCTGTGCGGCAAACCTGGGGTTCTTTAGCTGTAAGTAATAAAGAAATACGATTGGTTTTTATGTTGGGATATCGTCCGGAGATACACAGTCATGATTTAAAGACTGAAAATGAAAAATACCACGATATTATTCAAGAGGATTTTTACGATAGTTACCGTAATCTCAGTATTAAATCTGAGGCCATTCTTCGTTTCGCCAACACGTTTTGTTCTGGTGTAAAATACATACTAAAAGTTGATGTGGATGTGTTTCTGAACCTACCGGTTTTGATCGACGATTTACGTAAACGAGAGGGTACAAATATGATTATGGGACATGTTTTACAGCTTGTATATCTTTTTCGGACCAAAGATTCAAAGTGGTACACGGACAGCTATCCATTAACATTTCATCCATACTATGTATCTGGACCCGCCTACATTTTATCCGGAGATGCAGCGGAAAAATTACTCTATGTCGCATTAAAGACGAAATATTATTTTGTAGAAGATGTTTTTATTACTGGTATAGTAAGACAACGTTCGAACGTCGAATTGATCCATCACCGAGGATTCGGTTACAGAAACCCATTTGTTGATATTTGTTGGCTTGAAAATAAAATTTCAGGACATTCCTATACAAAAGAACAAATGATAGAACTATGGTCACAAAAGGTTAAAAACAAATCCTGCACTTGGACATTAAGAATATTTTATATGTTGTATGATATTTTAGCTTGGTGGTGATCGTGGTAGTGATCCACGGGGGTTGGGGGAGCGGTTGCTAAGTGAGTAAGACGATGGCTCGCAATGAGGGAGATCGCGGGTTCGATTCCGGTGTTTGCAGAGAAAGTTCATCGGGAATTTCCGACGTGGTTTCCTCTTGTCAGTGCTGCACCACGGACAGCAACCTAGTCGTTTGGATAAGACGAAATCCGAGGTCCCGCGTACACATTGGCGTGCACGTAAAAGATCCCATGGCAGTTGGAATTCGAAATTACAGTAGAACGTAGCGTCGCTGTCCGGGCAAAATTTCCCTCATAACACACTGTATGGCGTATGCCCAGTTGGAGCAGAAGAGTAGGACGTTAAACCCGTTTCATTTCAATTCCATCTATTGGGATGATAGTCCCATCCCACTGAGTGCCAGAGCAACAATACTCCTATCTCACCGAGTGTCTTAGGCTCCACTGCTAACTTAATTGTAGTGTTTATTTCAATCAAATTTTACATTCCTAACTATATTGTAATCCTTATTTCATTTAAATTTTATATTTTATATTTGTAATCCTTATTTCAATCAAATTTTACATTCACAACTATTAATATGTCAATATATTGTAATCCTTATTTCATTTAAATTTTATATTTTATATTTGTAATCCTTATTTCATTTAAATTTTATATTTTATATTTGTAATCCTTATTTCATTTAAATTTTATGACCACGCTGTTAAAAATGGGTGTAATTAAAAACTATAAGCAGTGTTAATTAAGTGTAAACTTTACACCACAGCTAGCGTTTTTAAAATGTAACACTTTTACAAGGGTAACCAACTAAAAGAACTACACATAACAAGTGTAACCGATATCCATGACTACTGAACACCTGAATAGGTGTAATTGTCGGGTGTTTTGGATAAGCTACACCACTACCGGGGTTATACTGCATTACACCAAAGACTAACTATTTGGGAATAAAACCTATGCAAAGTGTAATCGATATTCATGAGTACTGAACACCAGGATGGGTGTAATTGTAGCCGCTAAAGGGTGGTTGGGTTGAGCTACCCCTATACAAGTGTTTTATTGCATTTACACCAACAGGTGTAATTATTAGGGAAACATTCCTCGGATTAAGGTATTAATTGTACCCCGTATCTTGCGTTACAAAAGTGTTTGTGTACTTCAATTTGACTGTTTTTGTATCATGTATAATAATTTTAATAATATTTCATAACGCCTTAAGTATAGATTTGTTTAGCGTGTATACACTTAAAGAGGTGTAAATGTTCCCAAATATTACCAAGTACTATATCTTAGTTAATTATTCTTAATTCAGGTGAGGTGCATAAACGAATACGAAAAACCAAGGTCCCGTGTACACATTGTCGTGGACGTAAAAGATCCCTTGTCCGGGCAAAATTTCCCTCATAGCACACTGTATGCACTGTTAAAATTAAATGTAAAATTACAGTGAAAAATATGTAATTTCTTTAACATAAACGCTGTAAAAATGCCTCTGCATGTTTATATACTCTAAATTTATGGTGTATTAGTGTGGTAACATGGGATTGCTGTAAAAAAAATGGTAAATTAACAATAAAAGTGTAGTGGACGTAAAAGATCCCTTGACAGTTGGAATTCGATATAAGAGTAGGCCGTAGTGCCGCTGTCCGGGCAAAATTTCCCTCATAGCACACTGTATGCACTGTTAAAATTAAATGTAAAATTACAGTGAAAAATATGTAATTTCTTTAACATAAACGCTGTAAAAATGCCTCTGCATGTTTTTATACTCTAAATTTATGGTGTATTAGTGTAGTAACATGGGATTACTGTAAAAAAAAATGGTAAATTAACAATAAAAGTGTAGTTTTACAAGTTAGAACGGTATTTTTATTATATGTATCTGTATTGATACAACTATGTTGGTGAAAAATACAAGTATGTTGTACTTTAACTGTTTTTATTGATAATTCTACTATTAAATACGGAATTTATGAACAATTTACAGGAAACGTGTAATTGTACATCTATTTAGAACTTTAATATTGATATACCTTTTAAGGCTTCGTTACTTTTCGTCTATACTATAGTCAAATTATGAAGTGGTCACGGTGGCTAAGTGGGTAAGACACTGGCTCGCTAGCCTGGAGGTTGGGTGTTCGATCCCTGCATTGGCCGAGAAAGTTCATTCAGGTCTTGTCAGGGATGCAGGACAGAGGGCCGGACAAGAATAGCTGTCTAGTCGTTCGGATGGGACGAAACACCGAGGTCCCGTGTACATGATTAAAAATCCTTGAGGGGTAATGCTTAATCTATACCCACGGGTGTAACATTACACTGTCTGGGTGCATCAGGCAGGTTACACTACTGGAAGTGGCAACTAATTTCCACCTGAATTGGTGTAATGTTCTATACTAATTGGGTATTATCAGCTAACATCACTAAAGGCTAAACGTTACCTCTATTTAGGTGGCAACTAGTTTCCATTTTACATTCATAATTATATGTCAAACATATTGTAATCCTTATTTATTAAATTTTACATTCATAATTATATGTCAAACATATTGTAATCTTTATTTATTAAATTTTACATTCATAACTATATGTCAATATATTGTAATCCTTATTTCATTTAAATTTTATATTTGTAATCCTTATTTCATTTAAATTTTATAACTATGTCAGCCATATTGTAATTCTTATTTCAATTAAATTTTATATTTATAATTATATTGGATTTTTTATACGTCAAAGAAATGTTCTTCGAACTTGCTGAAGGTTCATTCGGCTTGTTTTCCTATTGTCAGTGCTGCATAACGGGGGGCTTGGCGGGGTACAAATATGGTCGTTTAGAAAAACCCAGGCCCTGTGTACACATTGGTATGTACCTAAAGGGGCCCTTTAAAATTTGAATTGAATTCGAAATAACAGTATTCATGGCGCCGCTGTATGGTCAAAATGTCCCCCATACCATACTGCATGGTATCTCGTCTTTATTGGCTCATTTCATTTCATTGCTAGCTTGTTCTGGATTTAATTCGTTTAGACTTATTATTTTAAGTTATAGTACCATTCAAATTCACCGCCTGGTCTCCAATCGCATTCAGGTGTCCTCATTATAAGATGGTGTTTATCAAACTCCCTTGGCAGTTGGAATTCGATATAAGAGTAGGCGATAGTGCCGCTGCCCGGACAAAATGTCCCTCATAGCACACTTCATTAGCCCAGTATAGGAGCAGAACAGTAGGACGTTAAACCCCATTTCATTTCATTTGTTTATAAAACAAAAAGTCATCTTTTGAACTTGCCAATACATAGTTTATAGTCGTGTCACAGAGTTGGGCAATCGAGACAACTCCCCGCTACCATTATGTAGGCTTAGTTTTCCAGTGAAAATGAAACAGTTTCCAAGTACCCTGGGCGAGTAGAAAATATTTTAGAATGATTTCTATGATTGTACAATTTAGTGATTTGACAACATAAGCAACACTATAAAGATTCGGTGATTTGAGTGCTATAAAATCATTTGCAAACCACAATCATGTGAAAGTGGGGTCTGTACTATGGATATCATTCCAAAAATATTTCGTTCAATATTTACAAAGATGTGAAGCATTGGAAATCTCATAGATCTATACTGCTCACTGTGTAACACGATCACAGCCAGCTTTATTTGCCGCGAACCAAATTGATCGGCATGTTTTAATACAACTGAATCTAAGACTGGGGGTTATCTACCATTGTTATTTTGATTTCGTGTTAAATAATGAATCTGAGTACATATTAGCGTGGATAAAGGCGAAAGAAATTTGATATTTTCCGAAAAATGTAAATCTGCATCGTTGCTTAAAGTTATAGAGAGAGAGAGAGAGAGAGAGAGAGAGAGAAATGGGGTTTAACGTCCACTCGACACAAACTAGGTCATTTCGGGACTAACATATGGTTTAATTTTATTTACATAATTCGCTTGCGCGTAGGGGTCTTTAGCAGTGGGAGGAAACCGGAGGACCTGGAGAAACCCCACGAGGTTGGACAGGCGACCCTACTCCTTGCCACGTACAACCGGGGATTCGAAACCACGCCAGTCGACTCAATGACAGACTGTATGATACAGCGCGCGCACGCTAACCATTCAGCCATCCAACCCCCCCGCTTAAAGTTATAATATAGGGGTCACGGTGGCTAAGTGGGTAAGACGCTGGCTCGCTAGTCTGGAGGTCGGATTTTCAATCCCTACATTGGCCAAGAAAGTTCATCCAGATTTTCCGGCGTGCCCCCCCCCCCCCTTGTCAGTGATGCAGGATGTAGGACCTGACAAGGACAGCTGTCTAGTCGTTCGGATTGGACTAAAACCGATATAAAATGAAATGAAATGAAATGGAGTTTAACGTCCTACTGTTCTGCTCCTAACCTGGGCTAATGAAGACGGGCATACGCCATACAGTGTGCTATGAGGGAAATTTTGCCCGGACAGCGGCACTATGGCCTACTCTTATATCGAATTCCAACTGTCAAGGGATCTTTTACGTGCACGGCAATGTGTACACGGGACCTCGGTTTTTCGTCCCATCCGAACGACAAAACCGATATAAGATTAGGTCGTAGTGCCGCTGTCCCCATAGCACACTGTGTGACGTATGCCAGTCTTCAGTTCGGAGCAGAACAGTAGGATGTTAAACTACATTTCATTTCATTTCATTTCAAGTTATAATATTTGTTCAAACAAATATGAAAAACGAGAACCCATTTTTACACAAAGAATACAAAAACACCTAGTGTTTGTGTTGAACATCCTGTTCTATTGTCATGGGTAAAGAAATCAAACCGTAGAAAAGTAAGGATTATCCCAGGAAATCTCACGAATACATTATCCTGTTATTTTACACTGGGCAGGTATAATGAAGGGAGTGGAAGCTTAGAAGCTGAACAGTCCCAGGAACACATTATTTTGCCACCTTACACCGAGTTCGTATAATGGTCTGCATGGAAGCGTATAGAAAGGAGGAGTCAAGATGGCGCGGTAAGTAAGTCGGTGATTTACCAGCCACGGTTGCTATGCGAGTATGAAGCTGGTTCGGGCGTTTTCTATCCAGGTGTTGGCCCAGAAAAATCCATTGGATTCTGAAGAGTGGTCTGAACTTGTCAGCGATACAGAGCAGAGGGCCTGGCAAGGAAACTGGTTCGGATGGGACGAAAAACTGAGGCCCCGTGTACATGTTGGCGTACACGTAAAATGTTGCTCTCATGACGTATGTCCATTGTCAAAGAGGGGTCCGGGCGGGGGGGGGGGGCGGTCACATCAACTCAACACCAACTAGGTCATTTCAGGGCTACCATTTCAATACTTCGCTTGCCAGTAGGGGTCTTATAGCTGAGAGAGAGGGAGGGGAAACCAGAGGACCTAGAGAAAAGTCACGAGGTTAGGCAGGCGATCCTACTTGTCAAATACAAGTTTGGAAAATCGAAACCACACCACTTGACTCAATATGACAGACCATTCGGCCACACTCACCCCCTAGCGAATAAAGCAGCTGCGTTATCCCTTATCTTACTCAGGTGTACAGTGTACAGTGTACAGTGATGTTTGCCCCATCCTCACCACTACTCAACACTTGACTTGTCACTCACATCCTGAGAAATAGAAACCGAATCTG